GTCAATCACTAGTGGGGACCTGATGGAGAACTGCAGGTCCCCTCTGCTGATTGACAGCAGCAGTGGGCGGGTGCAATAGCTAGTTTGCTATTGGCTATTGCAAATTGAAATAACCAATAGGAATCTAGCAATGCATTCCTATGGTGAAATTTTTTTCTTTATTTTTTATTCTGACGACAGCCAACGGCTTGATGTCAGAATATTAAAAAAAAAGAAGAAAAAGCCGTGTTTCTCTCCTTGGCGGCCGGGAGCAGGAGACTCCCAGAGCGCCCGGGAGAGTTGGGCTGTCTGGAGATCAGTGTTCCTGGTTAGCTGGTAACCAGGGACACTGATCTCTCTGCAAGTGGCTACGCCCAGCTGGCAGAAGCAGGCTGTCGGCTGGCCAATGGCCGGCCGCCCGGCCAGCTTCGGCTTTCACCTCGGCTCAGTCGAGCCAAAGCATATGCCTTCAGCTCGACTGAGCCGCTCGGCCGACTTCGGGAGCTATACGGGCTATAGTGAATAGCCCGTACAGCAGACGTTCGGTTCTACTGAAACGAAGGAGTCCTGGGGCCGAAGCTAGCCGAAGGATCAGCTGAAGCTACGGCTAGATCCTTCAGCAGCTTCGTGAATAGACCCCTAAGTATAGAGGCTTCCTGTTCATTCATAACAGGGGCCGTAAAAATAGAGATTTAGGACTCTGTGTCCTCAATCCCTTTTTCTATTTTAAAAGGTTGCAAAAAAAAAGTCATTTTTGGTTTTCGGCCTGACAAAAATGTTATTTTCGGTTTCAGTCTAAAAATTTCATTTTGGTGCATCCCTATTCTTTTCCACTTCATCTTTAAAGAGGAAGTTCACCCTCCCAAAGAAAGATACTGTACACTCTTTTCCCCATTTACCTTTTGTGCTCTTCTTGTGCTGTAATAACATACATACATGCCCAGTGGATCCTACGTTGTCCTGTCCTCTTGCACCATTGTCCTGCTATACTTCCTATCCCATGCCACCATCTTCTTTGTTACATCACTGGGAGACAGCTTTCTCTTCCTGGTTCTTGCAGCCGGCCCCCAATGATGCCGCACCAAATCTCGTGCATGCACAGACAGAGATCTGGTGCCGTGTCTGGGAGGATAGTAATAAATAGAGTTAGAGACACCGGCACTCCGCATGCAGATCAAATACGTGTATTTTTTGACGTAAATGCAGGATATCACACTGGTGTGATTAGCACCAGTGTGATATCCTGCATTTATGTCAATAAATAGACTATTTGATCTGCATCTGGAGTGGCGGTGTCTCTAACTCTATTTCTATACATGACGTTTGCTATCCGTTGACTACCGCTGCACCCACCCGATTCATATGGATAAAGCGGTCAGGAGTGCGATGCGTTCATGGACTTTATGGGAGGGTAGTAATGCCTCCTTGGATATGTAACATCATATATCACAGGAGGCATTACTCATAGTTGCTAACAATTCAAACAAGTTTGGTGCGGTGCATTCAGGAGGCCATTTGAGGTGGAGAATGTACTTTAATTAGGGCATTGATTTAAACTGGATTTGGTTCTGCAAGAGACATATCAATACCCTATTGTACAATTGAATTTTAAAGTACTGTGCGCAGCACCCTGTAAGCAGGAGTGCTTAGCTAAATTTAGTTGTTGTGAGATTGTAATCAATCTGATGCTGATCTATAGTCTATGCTCATTTGGGTTCCCCTAAGCAATCTGTTATCATTTGCATCTGCCTACTGCTGAGTGTATCCTTGCCACAGAGCAGAGCAACCTATAATGGATTGTTATGAATATGTATGTCTCCCCGGCCAATCATTAGGAGGGTCAGTGGTGCATGCTAGGAGAAGAAATAAATATTTAGAACGGACCATGTAAGGTCTTTTTCTACCCCAGCCTTGCCTGGGGAGAGGCTGCTATGGTCTGTCTGATTTGGCTAGGCCTGAAGCCTAGGGGACTAGCCACGTGCTCACAATGAGGCCTGAGTCTAGGGGCCCAGTGGCTGATACTGAAGATGAAGATGACAGAGTACCTTCAACAGGCCTGGGGGACCTGAGAAGTGAGTCGCTGCTGTGACTTAAGAGTCTGTTCCTGAATGAATTGGTGACTACTGATTCAAGTACTGCTTAGCCAGGTGCTCTAAACACAGATTGCCACATGTGGCTTAAAGGTCCTAGTCTGTGGAGGCAGCAGTTACTTTGTTCTACCATCATCCTGGATGTTCCTAGCCCTAAGTCCCTGAAGTCATACAATAAAGTTCCTTCAGCATCATATCTACAGTCTGGATCTCGCTTTTATCGATCGCCATAGAGTATATTAGAAAGGTGCATTCGGATGTACCTGCAAATCAACCAAAATTAGTTGATTTGGCAGTTCTTCCAAATCCGAAATAATTAATTTAAAATATGCCCGAATATACTAAAACGATATTCGGGCATACATAAATTCGTTTTCAGAACATATTGGCCGCCAGAGTGCTCTGCACATGCCCGCTGCCATCTTGGAGGCGGAGCGTGTGACGTCACTGTGTGTCGGCCACCAGCGCGCTCTGCACAAGCGTGCCGTCATTTTGCAGTAGATCTTGGTGTACACCAAGATGGCGGCGCTCGAAACATGCGGGTGCTGCCATCTTGGTGTATACCAAGATCTACTCCAAATGGCCGTCGCTTATTCTGCGGTTTCAGTGTGCAGTTTCAGATTTGGAGGCTTGTTGCCTCCGAATCCGAAACAACATAAAAATGTGTTACCTTTGACAAAACGAATGAAAACTTTTTTCGTTTTCATTTTGTTTTGTCTGTAAACAAATTTTTTTGTTGTGCACATGTCTAGAGTATATGCAGTTGGGGCAGCCAGGTTGCTAAAATGGCTAGACAGGCTAAGAAAGACCCCTAGAATACACAACTGCTTTAGAGGGCTTTTTTTTACCAAATAAATTAGAGAATGGAAGGAGTAGGGAGTCGTAGTGATGGGCTTCAAAGTACAGAAAGAAGCATGGTGTCCTTCATTATTGAAATCCTAATAAAAAGACTAGTTACCTGTCTGTCTTTTACTGTGGCAAACCCAGGACAAGCATACAGCAAGTGAAGTTCTGCATTTCTATTCTTGTTTGGGGTCAGTGATTTGGAAAGTGCTCAGGCCAAAGCATCAGCATGACCGCCAGACAACTAGCATGTTCAGAAATAAAGGTCCCCAATGGCAGCCTTTCTGTTATCACAAGTTTTCTTTAGGCTAGGTTGACACCAAGGCGATTTATCCGCACGATATCGCACAAAACAGAGATTTGCATTCAAGTCTATGGAAGCTGTTCACACCTTTGCAGTTTTGTCACACGGTAGAAATCACAGCGCAAAAAGGTGCAGGAGCTAGTTCCGGGAGGTTGTTGCGCAGTTTGGGTCCCATAGACATCTCTTTGCATTGAAATTCAAAGCAAAATTGCGCAAACAAAAACATGTGACAACAGCTCACCAGCTCAATTGCCTAGGCGTGCACTTAGCCTTAGTCCCTGACCCATTCTGGAAATAATTCCATTAACTGAGAAGAGATTGTATATCAGATTTCAGTACTGATCTATACAACGGGTATACAACACTTCTCACCCCTGCAGCAGCCGCAGCAGGTTTTTTGCAGTTCTGAGACTGGTGTTTTCATAATAAACAAAAGAGATTTGTTTAAAAAGCAATGAAAGAGGAACTCAGTCTCCAGAAATTCCCCATCCTGTGACCTGCTGGAAATAATTGCCTGTTAGAAGACAGAGTGTATGAGATAGAGCAGTTAGTACAGAATAGAAGGAGCCAAGGACCCCAGCAGACATGCCAGCCTCCGAGTGCTATTTCAATGTGGACGGTGGCTACCTGGAGGGATTGGTCCGAGGATTTAAAGGGGAAATCCTGAAGGTTGCCGACTACATCAATTTGGCACAGTGTGAAACCCTGGAGGGTAAATAGCTTTCATCCCATTTTATGTATTTATTTATGTATCTATTTATCAAATTTTGTACAGAAAATTTAGAACAATGCTCAATATTTATTTACACGTAGGGCTCATGTAGATCCAAGGAAAAAATGAAATACTCATATTTTCCTTGGATCTTGTTGCCAGAAGCTGGCAGAAAGACCCAAAGTGAAAAACGTGTATAAGTACCCGCTCACATCATTGTGTTGCGTGAACGTGTGCCAGAGTGCACGCTTTAACAGACATTCACATAACGCGTTCAAAACATGTGTCCCACTTGTGGTGTCATTACTTGTTGACGGCACCTAAAACACGGCTGGTAAAACCATGTTCTTTTCCAGCGCATTGACGCGCTTACAACGCGCACAAAGGCACAGAAAAAATGCCAGACACTGGCAGCTGAAAATGCTACATGAGCTACTTTGCCAAGTTTGTCATGCATGCGACACCCATTGACATCAATGGGTGACGCGCAGCTAGTGCAGCAAAGAACGTGCACAAATGCATGTTCACGTTGGCGCATGTTTCTCACATCATAGTGTGAATTGAGACTAATGGTGCTTAAAATACTGGCGTTCATCTGCTTATACAGCATTTAGAAGCACATGCTCGAAAATTCACTTCACTGGCTGCAATAATAATTTGTTCAAGCTACTAGAATGAATTTACGCATGTACACTCGTGTGTACGCGTGTAAGCTACGCCAGTACATGCCTTTCGAAATGCATGTTTTGGGCATTTTTTTGAATGTTTTTGAATACCACTCTAGACTAATACCGATTGAAATGCCTCAATGTGCATAGACACTTTGGCTATTATAGAGGTGTGTTCAGAGGTGTACAAAAATAAAATGCATTTTTTACACAATGTGATCGTCGGCGTGATCAATCACATCACATTGTGGGTGGGAGGTGTGTTTGGAGTGCCAATCAAATGAATGGCCCTTTAGGGCCCATTTTCACACGGACCTATTAAAGGTCCCAGTGTGTGGAGGCAGCAATTAGTTTATTCTACCATCATCCTGGATGTTCCTTCAGCATCATATCTACAGTCTGGATCATGCTTTTATCGGTCGCCATAGAGTATATTAGAAAGGTGCATTCGGATGAACCTGCAAATCAATGAAAATCAGTTGATTTGTCGGTTCTTCCAAATCCGAAATAATGAATTTAAAATATGCCCGAATATACTAATAGCTATAATAGCCAAATTTCAAATTCAAAACAGAACCTAAAGTTGATTTCCTCTCAATATGCAAACTGTCACGCTCTTGGTCAGATGTTTGTTTGTTTTCTTAGTTTTTAGGGACACTTAATTGCTTCACGTCCATTGTAGATGGAGAATATACCTTATTTAGGGGGTGAGGCATTCTTTAAAGTGGATGCATATGATACATCTAAAGCTGCCCACACACTTTGCGATCATCAGACGAAACTTTTCGTCCGATCATCGAACCGTCGTACGATTTTCGTATGCCGGCCCCATCCTGCCCAGATTATCGCAAGGTTGAATCAGCAGTATTTAAAAGAAAACACCTGGATGAATTGCAGTAAGCGACCGCACGTATTTTGGTCAGCGCATGAGCAGTGTAAGTCGTATGAATGTACTGTGTAAATGTAAGTCGTACGAATTTTGACATACGGAAACGGTACCAACCTTGCGAATATCTACGATCGACCGAAGTTTTTTAACCTGCTGGTTGGTCAAAAGTCGACAGTATTTGCGGTTGTACACTGCCCATCAACCTTACGAATATCGGGCGAAAGCGCGATTGCATATGAAAATCGGCCCATATTCATAAGGTGTATGGGCAGCTTAAGGCAATTGTTTAATAAACATCAATAAGAGAGCTGTAGTTATAGGGCTACAAAAACAGGAAAACAACAACAAAACTCAGGTAGTAACAGTAAACATGTAAACACTGATCAAAATGTTTTAAAGGAGGACTGCAGACATGAACTACCGAAAACAATCATATTGCACAGTAAGAAAGAACACTACATACATAAAAATGAAGTAACAAATCTGTATTATAGATATAATAAACCTGCAGTACTCCCCTCTATAAAAATGTGATTTTTTTTTTTACATAAAGTTTTTTGAGAAATCATCCTGCACTTCACACCTTCATGTTGCGTGAACGTGCAAACGTGGCATGTGTTAAACACAGAGGGGGGCATTTATCAAAACTGGAGCAGACAAAATCGTGAGCAGTTGCTCATGGCAACCAATCAGCTTCTCTCTTCAGTTTGTTCAGTGAAGATGTTAAAATGAAAGATAGAAGCTGATTGGTTGCCGTGCACAGCTGTTCCAGATTTTGCCTGCTCCAGTTTTGTTAAATTCCCTTCAGAATCTATTGCATGAGCTACTTTGCTGCTTTTGAGCAGCCCATTGAAATGAACGGCGGAAAAGATTCACGTGAACATGCCCAACATGCGTTCACATATTGCCAACGTGTGAACAGGGCCTTATGGTCTCTGTGCTCTGTAGTGTTTTATTTGTATTCAGTGCTACAGTACACAGGCATAGAGCATGGATGGTCTTCTGTATTTTCCAATAAATGTTCCTGCTTAATGACACAGAACGTTGTGCATCAGCTCTGTCTCTACTCCCCGGCATCTCTGCACGGTGACCTTCCCTGTGTTTTGACAACAGTCGGCGTGTCCTGTGTGAGGACAAACATCTTTCTGAACTCAGGCAGTTTATGCTGGTACTGTTCAGTATGGCGTGGTAGTATCTAAAGAAATCCTGACTTGCCTTCTCATCTGACTGACCTTCCCCTGATGAGAAGGGTTTGTCATATTGTCGGTTCTATGGGACTTATTTACATATATACACAGTATATGCTTTGATCGGACAAATTACTTTTTGTGTGAGAAGCCTCAGATAATACTAACACTGTGACAGGGAAATGTAACCTATTTAGAACTGCAGCTCAGAAAGTTAAAAAAATTGCTTCTTCCTGAGGATTTATTATACGGATAGCAATTGTTCTGTAACTTGTAGCAACCTATCAGATCACAGCTTTAATAGGCAATGTCAGCAACTTGATGGACCTGTGTCTTTTTTGAACCTCAAATACTATGTAACTATGTAACTATGTAGTATGTAATGTGTAATATTCTGATAAAGAAATGGATCATCTCACACATTGCTTTCTTCTGTCTTATGCTATTGTAGAAAAGGTACAAAGGAAATATAATGGTTACCATTGCTGACTTAAAGAACAACTCCAGGCATGTAAAAATTAACCTTTCCAGTGGAGCTATCGCTGCACTGCAAGGGTTAAGTGCTAATTTTTGTCTAGGGCCTAAAATAAAAAAAAGATAGACTCACTGAAATTCGGTCCTGTCTAGCTGCTAGACCGGTCCCCAGCCTCTTCTCCCCCAGGCTCTGGTGGTCTAAGGATCTGTGACATCATCAAGTCCATTTACTTGCATCAGATATGAGGACGCCAGGGGGATAGACGTGAGCTGTCACCGCCAAAGAACTGAGGATCAGGTATGTATATTTTTTTTTTAATTCTAGACCCTAGACCAAAACGAGCACTTAAAGGAGAACTATGGGGTCAGTGTTTTTCCCCATAGTTCTCCTTAGGGTAACGGGAGGACACAAACTAGCGTCCTCCCGTTACCCTAAGCTCAGTATACCGCGAGCTACAGCTCGCGGTATACTAAGACGCCGGAGCGGATCCGACGTAGATGGCGGGATCCGCCCAGCTGCATGAGTGACAGCTGGCTCTGCCTATCTAGAGGCAGAGCCAGCTGTACCCGCCCCGTCCGTTCCGCCAGTCAGCGCTGGCAGATAGGAGCAGGGAGAGGGGAATCCAGCCCCTCCCCCTCTCACCGCCGAGCGCCGCCGGA